GTGAGATACAGATGCGCACACGCTCATTTTCGCCTCTAATTGCCATCATATGCGGGCTACATATGACTAGAGACGGGCACTCTCATAGATTAGCCCTCTAAATGTATAGATGGCTGACAAAATGGATGTCGACAATCCAACTAACCCCCCGTCACGCGATCCTCGCCTCGTCAGTCGAAACAGGCCAGCGCCAGCCAGGACAGCCTCTCTAGATACTGGCATATTGGGACCTCCTAATGGTCATAAGTTAGGCGTAGAGCCACCGAACAATTCTCCGCCTATTGACAGGCAAGATGGGGCTCCTGGAGATCAATTTATTCGCGCCCTCTCAGAATTGATCAAAGCTGCTGTTGACACAGCTACTCGGGAAGTCGAAAAGGACAAATTGCTGAAGAAGAAGGACATGACAGAGGGTCTTCTGCGAAAGGCAAAAGCCGCGCCAAGTTTCCCATCGACCACAGCATTCTTCCAGCAAGCTCGCAAGGATGAGGATTCTGAGTTGACAAGAATGGATGAGACTATCACTAAACACCAAGCGCACTATCGCCAGTTAGAAAATACTCTCAACACCAAATGGGTGCATTTGCTTCCGCGCAACAATTCTGATTCAGACGAGAAGATAAACAGACTGCGGGATGAGATTCTGGCGCTCAAGAAGAAAGTGGGTGATTCGGAATCAGATGCGAGTCGCGAGAAATATCAATTGCTAGAGACCAAGACAAAGATGCTTCAGGATCGTGTCGTCCTTCTCGAGAAGACTTCCGGCAACCATGCGACTTCTATCAACACTCAGATGAGATACGAAAAGGAGATTAAGGAACGCGTTGATAAACTCAGTTCAGATATCGCTCAATTCCCCTCTCAGGAGACCGTACTGAAACACTTCTCTTCGGAAGTTGAGGAGTTGAAAAGAATAACCATGACCTTGGATGCCAAGCTGAGCTCTTTGCAAAAGGCTCAGGAAGAATATTCAGGTTCTCTCGAAAGATTAAACAAAAGTATCGATGCGCAGCGGGAACGTCTCGATGCCAGCGACGATACTTCCACTACTTTTGAGAAGAAATTCAAAGATATCCATGAGCGTCTAGCCCCGATAGAAAAGGTCCAGGTAACTCTTTTGGAGGCTCCAGCTACAGCTCCAATTGACGCATCTAATATTGAGTTGCGTTTAAAGAATGTCGAAAACAATTTATCCAAGGTTCCCAGACCTGATTCATCCTTGCAGTCGAGAGTCCAGAATTTGTCAGAAAAACTCCGGCAATTACAAGACCTTCAGGCGATGAAAGACGAGCTTCATTTCGCAGAAATGGAGGAAATTAAGAAATCAGCCGTTGATAAAGCCGAGATACAATCATTGAAAGACAGCTACAGCCGCGTCGCCGGAGAAATACAGAAAATGAGCCAGTCGGACCGTGCAGCAGCCGTGGATAAAGCCGAGATACAATCATTAAAAGACAGCTACAGCCGCCTCGCCGACGAAACCCGGAGACTAAGCCAGTCGGACCGTGCAGATCAAGCTGAGATACAGTCATTGAAAGACAGCTACAGCCGCGTCGCCGGAGAAATACAGAAAATGAGCCAGTCGGACCGTGCAGCAGCCGTGGATAAAGCTGAGATGCAATCATTGAAAGAGCTCTCCAGCCGCCTCGCTGAAGATATACAGACAATGAGCCAGTGGAACCCCGCAGCGGCTCTCCAGCAAATTAAAACGGTAGACACGAAAATCAACACAGTTGACGTGGCATTAAAGAATTCCAATCGCTTACTCGAGAGTGTGCGCGTCGGCCTCCATTCCCTGGAGACACGCTACAACCATCTTTCCACCGAAATGGTCGTCAAGAACATGGTTGTTGCCATGCAAGAGATGTACCCTTCCGCAGGCCAATTGGCAGAGCAGATCACAACCTTGAAAAATCAGGCCGAGAAAGAAATATCATCTCTGAAAAAGACCATTGAACAGCTTGGTCAGGCCCAAAATAGTCAGAAGGCTTTGGTAAACCATCTCCAAGATGACGTCGGCCAGCGCTCAGCAGAAGTATCCCATCTCAGGGAATCCTTTGGGAAGGTAGCTCATCAGGTCTCTGCTCTCACAGAACAGCTAGAAGGTGTACGCGCTCTGCCAGACAAACTTCAGCAATTACACGCCAACTTTGACTCTCTGACCGAGCAATATCGAGAACATGTCTCTGAAATTAAGGACCATATTAAAGGCAAAGAGGCAGTCGATGGTCAAAACAGGATTGAGTTAGATGAATCTCTTCGCGAACTGAAAGACCAGGTCCAAAATTTATCCAGTGGCCTCAACCAGATGAAAATCGCGATGAATGAAATCACCTCAAATAGAAAGGATTTGCAATCCCTCGATGATCGTTTCCGCCGCTTTGAGGAATCCGTGTCGGCCGATCATCGGGACTTGTCAGAGCAGATTAACGCGCTCAAAGTTTCTTTGGAATCTCAGGAATCCATAGTGCAGGCGCTAGATTCTCTCCCAGAAAATGGGATGCAATCCCCCAAGCGAGAAGAAAGCTCTGCAGGATCAGATGTCGCCCCACTCCCTAACTATGCCGAGATCGCCGAGGCCAATCCTGCGCTGGCATTGCGCGAGAAAAAGAAAAAGAAGAAACGACCACGTCCTTCAACCATATCCGATGATGAAAATGAGAGATCATTTGGTGCTAGAAATGAGTCTCCCATAACATTCTCTTCACCAGCTCATACATTGGACAACGAAGACGCGTCGCCGTCAGAGAGCAAGAGAAAGTCCAAGAAGAAGAAAAAGCGCAGGTTGATCACGGAGGGACCCATCACAATAGACTAGTCATTTTTCCACGTTTACAGTTCAGCGTCGGTTTTCAAGCATTTACTGAGCCAAGTGATCACCATTCTCATGATTACATTTGTTCCTTGCACAGTTGAATTATTACCGAGATACCTCTTTGCCGTGTCCTGCTGTATGGAGTCACATCATTATTAGTTGTACCACTTCTTTCCTTCTTTGCTTTCCTTCTTGGTGTCTATTTCTTTTCATACATGTGTCTATGAGTAGAGCTTCATTAATCACTCTGAAAGTGGCACATAATGCACAAACATACATATAAGCACAGAGACACCGTCCTTCCGCCTCTATATGCAAACTAAATACTCTACGGCAGATCTTGCAAGAACTTCACAACAGCTGGAACATCTTTAGTCAACGAACTCAACCAACAGATAAACACTAATTGTACACGTACCTTGCCTGAAAGCCTCTGGATTCTCCGAGATCAGCCAATGACCTGCCTCAACATCCGCTATCTCAGCATTGGGGAAGAATTTCTTGATGGCAGGAACCATGTCATCGCTGACATAGTTGCTCTTTGTGCCTCTGATGAAGAGCGTCGGCCCATCATAAGTGACGGAGCCCGGTTCGCGGAAGGGGAAGTCAGCCATAGCAGGAATAGCCGGTCCCAGCACCGACAGAGGGATACGGAATTTCATCTTCTGGCTGTCTTCCGCGCGGACCAGGTTGGTCAAGAGAAATTGACGTATGGGGAGGGCCTGTGCAATTGGTGTGAGTCTGGTGCTTCGATCCACGACCCGCTCTGAGCGCAAGAGGGATAAACTTACATCCTCGTATTCCTTTAGGATCTTGTCGGCATCCGACTGCTTGGTGATTCCTTGCGCCTCGACCTCTTGCATGCCTCGCACGTACTTTCCGAAGTCACTCTTCAGAGGAGCATTGGCAGGAGCATTGTCGACAGGTATGAGGGCCGAAACTAGATCTGATGATTGCAAAGCGACTGTCATTGCAGTTTTTGCTCCCCTGTTTCCAGGAAGAGTTGAGTATGGTCGGACCTCCCTAACAGCTCTGGAGAAGAGAAACATACATGGAATGACCAATCAGGACACACTTAGCCAGATCGTGCTGGTGGATGAATTTCTCCACATCTTCGGCCATCACGGAATAGTTATGCTCGTTATGATGGAATGAATGACCATGATTCCGCAAATCCTGAAGATCATCAGTGATTCCGTCGTCCACCCTTAAGATGCGCTGAGACACAGACCAGAGTGAAGACCTGTCGTTTGAGGTCACGTGCAAGAACTCTGTGCGTGCCAGTCAGTCGGTTGATCACAAGATTCAGAGGCTGCTCCTACTTGCTGATACTTCTGTTGTTCTGTTTCGAGCCGAAGAGACCGTGCAAGAAGACAATCGGATTTCGGCTGGCTTGTTCCTTTTCTGGGCCAAAAACCTGATACGAGAGCTCCGACCCAAGCACACGAGACGTCGAGAACGCTCGGATGCTGGGCGCAACCCTCATTTGTATCCTTACGAACGACATTGCGGATTGTTGGTGAACATGGAAGGTTGTATAGAACACAGCCCCGTCTTCGCAGGCCGCCGACTCCGAGAAAATCGATGACTAAGCCGATATCTTCGGATCGTTCCAAAAAAGGGAAAGAGGAAGAAGATAGTGATGTACTACTCCATACCCCATATGTGTTTCCTGTTCCAAATTCTCTTCGTTTGACTCGTCATATGGAAGACGTTCCATTCCCTTGACGTTTAGATAGATATTTGTGGAAAATTCGATAGCCCAACGCAACTCATCCCTTGCTACCATTATATACCGAATGGTGTGTTCAAAGTCAATCTCCATAGAAGGTTTTTTGGAGCCAGCTTTATCGATAGTAAGCTCCCATAAAGTACCTAGCCTCTAAGTATTATGAATATGGCTCATAGAACTCTTCATTATCATAGTAGATAGAGAGGTAAGCTAATACCCTATTTTTGCGTCCTTTCACTCTAGCAGTCATACATCATTAAAGAGAAACTCAGAAAAAGAAAAGCAAATAGAGCCAAGCTATGAACCGACTGTCGAAGAAATGAAATCATAAATCGAGAAGGCAATAACCAGAAATACTGCAGCCATAAGAAGCCAGAAAGTGCACAGGTTCCTTTGAAAAGGCATCCTGTATTGCCATGATCTGAGGCAAGAAGATATGGAGCAATTAACAATTCATATTCCAAGGAACATCATCCTGCCCAATTCCAAGAGGTCTTGCCGGGTCAGCACCACATCACGTTCACCAGGCGGGTTCGGCGGACGACCAATAAGACGACTGAATTCGAAATAAAGGGCCGGGGGCCCTTGATAAGTTGGCATAATCGCTGAAAAATCCATCAAGACCTCGGCCGCTTCTTTCCTGGCCCAAAGTGTCGGGATAGCACCACGCGCGCGGGTACGTGGCCCAGGGGGCGGAAGTACCTGCTCCGGAACCCAAGTCTCGATCCTTATGGTCCTGTTACTACGACAGATGCAGACAAGCATGACGAGTCGGACCTCGCCATTGGAGTGGTTGATCCACCAGCTCGCGTCTCCACGGAGTCGTTCAAAGGACTCTGACACGGCCCCCTCGACCACCCAGAGGGGCCAAGATGCAGCCTGAGATCTAATAGTCAAGTTCTTGTACGCCGAGTCGCCCTCCTTAGATGAGCCCCCCATTCCATGGTATGTGGTTGACTGAACAGGAATGACTTCGTCACCGGCAACCGCCATGTGCGCTCTCAGACGGTGAAAGATTTCATGGCCTATTATCGCGTGGCCTCTCTCGTGGGGTTCGGACGGTACTTTCACGATCAGAGTCTCGATATCCGCGAAATACGTGAAGCGGACTCGGTTGGCTCCAAGGGTGTCGCGGCGGTTCTCGATGGATTCGAAAAGTTGTGGCGTAACACCGCTGAACGACAGGTATGAGTCTTCGATGCTTCCGTCCTCGAGCGCCGCCCTCCTGCTGTCTATGGCTGATTTGAAGTCTCGTGGGTTTCTTATTCGGGTGCGAGGGTAGATATTGGTGAGTGCAAGTTGGGTCGAGGGCGGAGACAACATTTCTGGACCTTCGCGAGCTGGGGCTCTTCTCCTGCTCACAGGTCCAATAGGCAGCGGAGTTGTCTCCCGTATGGAGGGGATACATGACTAGCAGGGGGTAAGCAACAGTAAGAATGACGTCAGTCTTATAGAGTCCTTACCTGGGCACTGTTGATGCCGAAGTCTAATAAACTCAAGGTAGAGATGCAGAGGTTCACCTTGGACCGCTGAAGAGCTTGGAGACTACTCGCTAGATGGAGTAGAGAGGATGATGGAGTAGAGAGAAAGAATAGAGAGAAGAATGGTTTTATATAATAGAGAGCTCAGCCAGGGTGAGTCATGGGAAATCTCATCATTCTCATTCTCTAGCTTTTGAAAGTGAATATTTTGTTAAGTGATCATATATTTCCTGAATAGGTACTACTCTGTCACCTTTACCTACTCTTACATATACCTTTGACCTAGTCAAGTTACTAATAGTATAATACTAACTAGAGATAGATGCAGTGAATTACTAGAAAGAATACATCTTAAGTACTTATATCCATTCTGGCTACCTAGTTATTATCTACTATTCTTTAGTAAGCTTAGGTTCTTAAACCCAGGCAGCTTGTTGATTGCTTATTTCATGTATAATAAGTATTTTAATGATTACGACCTATTCATACCTAGCCTGAATAACTCTATGTAGTCACTTATTATGCTCTACTATCATTCATCAAGTAGAATCTATGCTATTGCACGCAGAAATCCTGATTGAATTGAAAGCCTTGTCTGTATATATCTAGAAGTCTTTTTACAAGAATTTCTTTAATGTGTATCAAATTAGGTAGTGATACGGTGACACCCCCTGGTGATACAGCGATAATAAGGACGTGGTGAAGAGGTATACCACTCTACATGCGGCAGAGTTCAATTGACATAATTATGATGAACAATAGGAAACCATGAGCCTCCCAGGCTTATAGATCAAAACTGGCGTCCAGAGACTAAGAGGTTCTTGTTGCACCGGACTCGATTGGAATATCCTGGTTCAACCAAGTCTCGACTGTGGGGCTTCAATCAGATGTATGCCAGCGAGACATAATAGACAATGGTCTATCTCGTGAGAGCAGATCAAAGGAACTTCTTTAAACTGGTCAGCATTGAAGCACTATCCAGTGTACGGCGACATCATGAGCCTGACGTAGTATCTGATTGATTCAGTAAGGCATTGTAAACCAATGAACAATCGTCTATCGGTAGCTTTTGAATGCTAAGCATTACAAGAAATTACAAGCCGGCTAACGCTCACTCAGCTCGCTGCGGTTTGTTACAGGAAATATATACAGGAACAGACATAATCATGGTCGATGGCGCTGGTTTCAAATGGTCGATCGTCGAAAGAGAAGCTCAGAATCCGTAACCTAGACATCCAGAAGTGGTGGCACCTTCTCGCATAGATATTCGACAATGGCATCGGGACCCCGTTCCACTTGGAGACCGGTAGGAATGGCATGCAGCTTGATATCGGGCTTGATTTCTCTGGCGATCTCGTGGATCTGGCGGGCTTCCTCGGCCGTCCACATGGAGGCGCTGAACTATAGTCGAAAAAAAGCATATTAGGTCTGAAATCCTAGCATTCATGAAATGTCGTGAAGAAATAATATGCAAAATGTGGAACATATGTGATGCATGATAAACGGCATACCAGAACGTCAGGCATATGCTCCTTCACCTTAGGAGCGACCTCCTCAATTTCTACATTGATGAAACATTCAGCACTCCTAGACCCTGGTTATTCTCAGCGACAAGACGCCCTTACTCTCACAGTTGTCCACATGAATAATGGTATATCGGTCCTTGAGGGTATCGGCAACACGTCCGATAAGACGCTTGGCTCTCTCAGGAGCAGTGTTGACAGTAACAAGACGGAAAGGTCCTTTAGGGCTGGCCATTCTGACGTTTGATTCGTGATGAATTGACGAATGAAATTTCGAACTAAGATATTGAAACAGGTGCCTTTTTGCGAGCAGCGATTTCCCCAGCTCTTTAAACAAGGGCAAGCCTTCAATATTCGGAGATAACCACGCTGTTTGTCTATTGTAGTAGTTTTATCCGCATTGCCCCTCAGGAATGGTGACATCCCCACAATCCAACGTGGGGATCTCTGGGGCCTGGTGAACTTAAGTGTTGGAAACGACCCAATTACATTACGATATCGAAACTCATTCAGTGCGACAAAAGGAACATTTGGACTTTGCAGCTAAGTTTAGAGTTCTTGAACAGCACTTTCTCTGCTCCCGAGTCCCATCTCCCACTTTGCTGCTGGTGCCCCTCCTCTAACATCCCCACCTTCGCTGTCATCGGCACGACTCCGAGTCCTCAGCAATAATGCATCCGCACCGGTGTCGGGGTAGAAATGTCCTGCGAGGGGCTTTCATAATGAAGGATGGATCTCACAAGATACATTGAGCCGGTCTTCTTCCTGAATTATTCTTGCGATACCCCCTAAATCCGTCTAACCTCATCTCTACGCCCGACGACCATGTCTAAGATTGCCTCCACCTTTTCGCGTACGTTCTATCCACGCATCTTGAGCTTATCCCAGCACAATCATGTTAACACTATGTAGGCCTTGTGCGCTTTGTTCCCAGGTCTAACCCTGCTAAGATCTTGATCGGCGAGCCAGTAGATCCGCAGGTGGATATTGGTTTGGCTGTCTACCAGGGCAAGGATGTCTCTGTACGATCATTCACCGGCACATCTGTTCTCAACCCAGGCCAGAAGACAGAGACAATAGAGATAATTGAGCGGATCCTTTCTCCTCTGGCGCAGAGCGAGGTTGGATCCATTCGATGCATTGGGTTGAATGTGAGTCTCGCAAACACTTGGTTTGGATGTAGCTTTGTGCTGACCGTTTGCGAATTCTTTCTACATTAGTATGTGTCGCACGCTGCAGAGATGAAGTTGACTATTCCCGATGTACCGACTCTATTTCTGAAGCCGTCCACCGCGCTTGCGGACCCGTGGCCGGCACCGACTATTCTTCCCAAGATCACACAGGTCGACAACACGGGCGATTACGAGTCAGAAATGGTTATTGTCATTGGCCGTGATGCGAAGGATGTAAGCGAGTCGGAGGCTCTGGACTACGTTCTTGGTTATACAGCCGCCAATGATGTTTCCAGCCGGACATCACAGATGAACCAAAGCCAATGGTCTTTCTCCAAGGGCTTCGACACCTCCTGCCCCATTGGTAGCTATCCCGCCGATTTAAAAACTTCGAGGAACTGTTGTGCTGACTATGACGTGCTTGATATTAGGACCTGTCCTTGTCTCCTCGGCTCTTATCCCCGATGCCAGCAAGCTTCAAATCCGTGGCTTGAAGAACGGCCGAGTCATGCAGGACTGCCATCTGACGTATGAGCGCACCAAATTGCTACGAACCCACTGCTTGTTCCCACGCTGACTCGTGCTCCAATAGTGATTTGATCTTCAGCGTCCCTCAACTCGTCAGCTTCTTGTCGCAGGGAACAACTTTGCCTGCCGGTACCATTATCCTGACCGGTACTCCTCCTGGTGTCGGAGCGGCCAAGAATCCCAAGGAGTTCTTAACGGCAGGTGATGAGTTTGCTGTTGAGCTACTCCCTCATGTCGGAACACTGATCACGAAGATCGAGCACCAGCAATGATTGGGAGGATGTGTCCTTTGGAATCGTCGATGACCAGAAGGATTGTACATACTACATCTTCTCACAAAACGAAAAAAGAAGCCGAGCCAAAGGCCAATTGCATCAGTCCTCAGTCCTGTGAAAATTTGGATAATGCTAGGTGCATCCTGTGCGTATTTAGAATGCATAACGTCTAGATATCTGGATCTTATTTCGATAAAATGCTTGTTATACGTCTCCCATGTATCCCCACGCGCCCAGACCGTCACCGAATCACTAGTCTCCACACACTACGCGTCCATCCATTCATTGCCGACACTCACTAATGCCACACACCACTAAATGCCGAGCGCTGTGGCCAACAAAGAAAAAAAGTGAATCAAAAAAAGCCAATCATCGCCAGCTTGAAGATTACTGAACGGATTATATCCTCATTCTAGGATTATTTCATAGCAGCGCTTTCGCGACAGCGACTTGAGACCTGCTATGAATGACCATTCGATAGGGAATTCGCATCGGCATTTTATTTTGTTAATTTTTATTTTGCTCTCAGACATCCACTTGGGTATATCTTTATCCCGCGCGGAGCTAAGCTTGTCCGCCTTGTGGATACCCCGGGGAGGACTTTGTAACTCTATGGTTGACATGTGTAGCCGTCTGCCTGAGGTGTCAACAATAGCATTTTCGTAGTTCGGTGGAGGTGGTTAAGCTTCGCGATTATGCCAGGAGAACTGGCGCCAGGCCTTCATACATCTAATACTACTGTTTGAGAAATGAGATTGTCCCTTTAACTAAGGCTGTCTTCATGTAGATGCGCCGAGTTGAGTAAACTTTTGACATTCCGGACCTCCGAAACCGACAGTCGGGCAGCCGTAAAGGTCCACTAAGACGTGGTCTGTTTGACTTCCCTGATGGTCTGATATCGGCCTGTCATTCGGGAAGGGGGTCGACTAACATAAAACCCTTCCGGAGTATATAAACGTTCATAATGGGACTGTGCTGGCTTTCTCTCCCTTTCGCGCCTTTCGGTGATTTTCTTTAATGATTGTTATCTCTCATTCTCTTCTCCGATTGATCCATTCGCCAACCCAACCTCAATAGATACCTGTCCCATTCTATCATCTGCTCTGTTTTAAAACAACCTACTACGGTATTCTTCTCCCGAAATCACGCCGTTTTATGACGAGAAAGTCCAGGAAAGTCCTTCATCACTGGCTGGGACGCCATTTCTTGCCTTGCCAGTGAACGATAAACGTCGGGATGATGCTGGCTCCCACAATCAGTGCACAGCCGACTCCAGCACTGGCAGCGACTCCAACATTCTCGAACATAGCCGGAAACCTGTATCCCCATCAGTCCGTGAATAGCCGACTCATTGAAAACGCAACTTACCAGAACGGCCCAAGAAATCCCCAAATCTGCCGGACGAACGTGATGAAGACGCCAACACTTCCGGCTTCTTCAGGATAACAGTCGACGGCGAACGTGATGAGCACCGTGGTCACTACCTGGTTGCCAGCGGCCCCAATGGCAATGCCGATGATAGGAGCAACTTCCCAGTGGTTCCCGGAAAACTGGGTACATACAAGGAAGACAATGAGACCGACAATGGATAGGATATACCCAATATAGCTGAGCCACAAGCGGTATTCCGGCTCAGGCCTCTTACGAGTCCTGCGCTCTCGCTGTCTCATCCACAGATCAGACACCCTGCCACCAAGTTGCTCTCCCACTACCGATCCAATGATGGGACCAAGGAACTGTAGTCCCAGTTGTTCTGGGTTGAGGCCCCACCTGCGTTCTAAAAGCGTCGGTACCTCAACGGTGGCCAAGACATTACTTAGGCAGAAGACCATAGCATAGGCCGCAGCGGGTATGGCAATGCATGGTTGCATGATCATCGCCAAAGGCTTGACAAACTCATACCACGTAAAGGCAGTTGGGTCTATGCGTCGCAAAGAAAGGTATTCTCGTTTCCAGGCGGGCTCTTTCGGGTTTTCATCGCCGCCGATGTAACGAGTTTCTGGCCCGAAGAAGAGGTACAGAATGAATTGACCGCCATTGGTCTGTGATGAAGGTCAATAGCCGCTTGTGAGCCCTGTGGTGAATATGTCTAACTAACCATTGCCAGCACCCAGTAAATCCACACGTAACCAGCACGGTGTGTAACAAAGCCGAAGATGAATGGGCCGCAAGGAATGCCAACTGTGACCATTAGAGTCCAGATTCCCATATATTTGGCGCGATCCTTCTTGAAAGTTGTTTCCATCACAATAGCACTTCCGATCGCTTACACAAGAGTCAGCCCAGGCCTTCTTCATACACGTCTACACACGCCTTACCGGAAGCCGGGGAAATGAAAAAAGCTTGCAAGGCTCGACAGGCCGCGACTGATGCATAGTCGGAGCTTTTGGCACATCCTATGTTACAGACACAGCTGCAAATCAATGATAGCAAGAAGATGGGGCGACGTCCGTAGCGTTGAGACAAGGGTTTCCAGAACAATGGCGCTCCGCCCAGAATCGCAATCTGAAGGGAGGTAAGGTAACTCGCTTTGTTGATGGAGACGCCAAAATCCTCGGCGATGCTATTGGAATTCCTCATCAGCAACTAGACCTTCATAGGGCGGCTTCAAAAGTATTATCAAGGAGCGTACATGCTGTAGGCTGGGATGATTCCGCTTGCAGCAAAGGTACCCATGCATGCGTGAAAAGCGACTAGGATCAGATTCGCCATTTTCTAGCAGTGTAATAGTCGGTAGTCAGTATAGGCCACAAGGTGGTACATGTCCTCCATTTATCATGGTCAAAATACGTCCAGGTTACTAACCTTCCATGCGGGCCAATTATAAGGGTCTGCAAGATCCATGCTTGGAATAGGATCGAGATCCAGCGTGCCATGATGTTCCATCAGGAAATCCCGATGGGCTCCGGAGAGACGTGAGGCCACTATATCAGCATATTTGGAAGGGATGCCAGTTTCCGTGCTCTCCACAAGATCGATGTCGGCCTTTGCAGGCAGAGAGGTCTCTAAAACATCATCGTCTGCTCGGTGCGGCCGCAGCTCCATAGACGCATTCATTGCTCGAACGGAGACTTTGCTTCTCTTTAAAAAGACTCTGATACCGAAACCAATATATGTGTTCTAGTTGTCGAATAGTCTTACGGGTGACTTTGCGTTTCTGGACAGTTGAGACACTCGGAGAAGGGAGCGTGCTAGAATGGGGAAAGGATGAGAGATAACAAGGATGAATCGAAACATGCTATTGCCATACAGAGAGAAGA